CCTCGGCGCCCGCGCGCGTCTGTGTGTGTGTGTGTGTGTGTGTTTGTTTGTTTGTTCCACGCTGTCTTTGTTTTGTTGTTCTTGTTGTTGTCGGCCTTCGTCNCTTTTGGCTCGGCGCGGCACCCGCTTCACCGCCCCCGCCTCCGTCTCCGTCTCCGTCTCCGTCTCCGTGGCGGGGGCGGCGTCGCTGCTGCTGCTGCTGCTGCTCCCTTCGCCCCACTGTTCGCCGCGCCTGCACTGCTGCTCGCCCCCGCCCCCGCGTCTTCTTGCGTGCCCGGCAGTTTTAGCGGGATCCCCTTTTGTGCCCTCCGCGGCGCCATGACGCGCGTGTACGTGGGCAACATCGACAAGCGGGCCACGAAGGAGGAGCTGCTGGAGTTCCTGAAGCCCATGGAGGACACCATCGAGGACTCGTGGCTGGCCAGGCGCCCACCGGGGTTCGCGTTCCTCACCGTCGCCTCGGCGCAGGCGAGGGAGTTTGTGGAGACCTTCAACGGGAAGGAGTTCCGCGGCAGGGTCCTCGTGGTGGAAACCTCCACCACCGCCACGCAGCCGCGGGAGCGGGCCCTGCGACGCCGCGAGCGCAGAGACGACAGACGCTCCTACAGCCGCCGACGCTCCTACAGCCGCCGACGCTCCGTTAGCCGCCGACGGCACCGGTCGGAGAGCCTCTCGAGACACCGCAGTGACAGGCGGCGTGCGCGCAGCCACAGCCGGCCCCGGGATCGCTCTAGGGACCGCAGGCGCCGCCGACGCTCCTACAGCCGCGACAGCTCCCGATCCTCGCGGTCTTCGTGAGGCGCACCGCTCCCCTCAAGACGTCTGATAGACGGATCACGCTGCCGATGGGAGGCGGAGAAGACGAATGAACTAAACAACGACAACGAAACAAAAAAAAAAGAGGCAAACAATGAAAGCAAGGGAAAAGGGGGAGGAAATCGGAAAAAAACAAAAAAATACCTAGTTTAGGTGGGGGGAGAGGGAGTGGGAAGAGGGGGGCTTCGCTTAGCTTCCCGTGCGTTCTCGCCACTTCCCAGGTTTTATTTAAACCTAACATCACAGTGGAAGCGTGGCAGGCCATCCAGTTGTGTGCACGCCTGACACATGCAATCTTTGCCTCTTTTGAAAGTACTCCAGTGCCGCCGCCCCTCCTCTTCTGCCTAACGTGCAATCATGCACACACACACACACAGTGGTAGTTGGGAGAGACACAAAAGGGGGTTGTTATTAGTTTTTATTTTTCTTTCTTTCATTGTGTGTGTGTGTGAATGTCTCAAAAAAAGAATGGGCTGAATCGACCGGCCCTAGCACAGCTCTCCACTGCTCTCTTCGGCAGGACCTCTGGGGAGTCTGACAAGGACGCGCGCGCCAGCGACGAGGGGTGCTTTGGCGAGGCCCTCTTCGGGGGTCACGCTCCTGCCCGCAGTCTTCTCTTCGGTGACGCCACGAGCCCCTGGAGGGCAGAGAAGTTTGGTTTGCAGGACAACAATCCCGCCAACTGGGCCGGTATTCAAACCAACCTGAAGCGCGAAGTCCCGCTCCTGCAGGACCCCGCCGAAACATTTGAAAGAATGAATAAAGTCATGCATCAGACGCTTAAGTATGTGAAGGAGGTGGAGAGCATTGATTTTAGTAGCCGTGAGGTGACCGATTTCAACGGGAAGGTGATGGAGGACCCAAGGCGAGTCTTTCTCTCGGTGTGCGCTAGCGTGTTGGCAAACTTTTCCTTCATTGGGCAGATGGACGTGGAGAAGCTGCTGAGCTTTCTCTCCGCCCTATTTGAGAGCTATGCCACAGACAATGCCTACCATAACGCCCTTCACGCCGCCGACTCCGTGCAAATGCTTTTTATTATACTGCGCGAAAAACCAGCGAAATTGATCTTCACGGACGACGAGATCATTGTGGCTTTTCTCGCCACGCTGTCGCTGAGCTTTGTGCACCCCGGAGTTTCAAACGCCTTTTTGGCCCGCATTGACCACCCCCTCGTTTGGGTGTATGGGGACATAACCACCCAACAGTCGGCCAGTCTCACGGCGTTTCTGTACCACCTAAATCGGGAGGAGAACCGCTTCATTGACCTCTTCGCAAACAGTGGCACGCAACCCTTTTCTCAGTTTTTGCGGGAGCTGCTCTTTGAGACTGTGCTGAACACGGCCCCGCGTCTACGTGGCTCGTTGTTGCGCGGCCTTGAAAAGTTGGCGGCCGCAAAAGCAGTGGAGCTCAACGATGTGCCGCTGCTCCTGTCGGCTGTGATTATCCTGGCGGATAACGCCCTGGTGCTGCGCCCACACGCGCAGTTCGTCGCCTTGGCCGGCCGCATGGTCACCGAGTGGCTGCGCGAGGCCTACGAGGAGGAGCAGCGAAGCATGGAGCCGCTGGTCCCGAACCTCCGCGGCCAGGTCTCCGAGAACGGACTGGGACTCGTGGTGGACTACTGCAAGGCCTGGCTGGTGCCCGTAATCACCGCCGTTCGGGCGCTGGTGCCGCAGGACCTCTACGACAACATGGTGGGGAACACGGAGGCGGCCACCTCCATGAGTGAGGCGGCGGAGTTTGAGGGGCAGCTGACCCCGTGCAACGAGCGCTGGAACGACGGCAGCGTGCCTGTGATTGACATTATCCGCCGGGTAACGATGCACGCTACAAGCTTGGATCGCAAGGCGTCAAAGCGGGCCATCCTTAACGCGGCCTCCAGCCGGGGGGTCTCCAGCTTCCTGTCTCCGTCCTCCTCCCTCTGCTCCCCGCCAGGCGAGGCCAGGGCGTTTCCCGACCCCGCGGAGCGAAGGGCGAATCCGCATACAAGTCGCTGTGAACACTACTTTTCTTTTCTTCGGCTGTATGACACCTATGAAAAAGAGGGTCGTCCCGCGTCGGAGTTCGCGGCACAGTTGGTCTTTCTCGCGCTGCAGCTAAATCACGAATACATTGGTAGCTACACGCACAAGGGCGTGGAGGTGTGCTCCAAGAAGGAGTGTGAGGAAATTGCAAAACTCATTATGGAAAAGGAAGAGGCGCCAACAACGGCGGAAGTGATAGCCTCCCCTCTGCGGGACGGGCAGCAAACAGATGGATTTATCTTGCGCCTGATGGAAATGTATGCTGAGCGCGAAAGAGAAAAGGGTAGAAATGAAACCCCCGCCTCAAATCCCACTACTGGGGTGAGGCGTGCGTTGAACTGCTCCAACCCCGTGTATGGGGGAATGTATTCTGGAAAGAAGTCGTGAGGTAGGGCTGCTTGCTAATGTAATATGGAAGTAAAAAGTGTGTGGTTCCCTGCATGGTGACAAGCAAGTAAATTTATATGGGCCCTTTGCGCCCTCCTTTTCCCTTTATTGACTGATGAATTGACGCAGTAAAGGAAGATTCCCGTACTGTAGTATATCTTCTTGTGAGCCTGTATTCTTGGTTAGCTTGTTTTCTTGCGGAGCGGAGTTACAGGGTGTGGGAAAGCTGGTTTGGGTGGCAGTTCTCTATGTGTCTGTCTGTCTGTCTGTGTGAGTGAGTGTGTGTGTGAGTGTGAGTGTGCGTGTGCGGGTTTTTTTGTATTTGTCCTCTTCGCTCCTTGCGACGCCGCACCACTCTTTCCGCGATCGAAGGGCGTGAAGGCTGGTTCCCCCAGACAACTGACACCATTTTTTGTTGTTATATATATATATATATATGTATGTATATATTATTATTATTATTATGTGTGCCCCTCTTCTTTGCGTCCGCGGTGCGTGGGTGCGTGGGTGGGTGCGTGCCGACATTGACGCTCTTCTTTACCCCCCTGTGTGCGTGCAGGTTAGCGGACACGCACGATGGGCCCCCGCACCGCCGGATTTCTGGTGGGTGCGGTGGCCGCCACTTTCTTTTCGTCCATGCTGCTGCAGTACGAC